AGCTCACAGGACTTCCCTCAGCTAATTGTTCATGACATGTCTGTGTCCTCCTTCAAGTTGGAAAGTAAGGCACATGGGAAGTCCACAAGTGAAGTTTTTTGCAATTTCCTTTATTCCCACCAAAACAAGCACAGAATTTCTTTTTGGTTTAATTAAAAAGTTTGCTGTGCTATCACTGGGAAGAACTGGAATGATTTTGAGTCTTGAGAGAGGTCTTTCCAATTCCAGGAAACTGTTAATGGCCTATCCCAGGATATATTTGTTGTAGCCTGCGGAGCAGAGCACTTGCTGGGATTACATCATGCCAGCTGGGCAGGGTTTCAACATTTCTGACATTCATTCTTCTGCATGTGCTTCAACAGGAGTTCCTTTCTGTAAAATAGGCATTTATAAGAAATTGAAACAGCTTTCAGCCAGCCCTGCACCCCCACAGCTTCTGACCCAGAAGCAGCTAGTTTTGGTTGTCTGCCGTGGCAGCTTTTAAGGCTGATACACCATTTCTGCTCCTGAAAATAAATCACTCTGCATTAACTCCTCGCAGCCTGGAAAGCCCTTGGGAGGAAAAGGCATTTCCTGCCCACAAATGACCTCTGTCACCAACTGTGAGAGCAGTTGGGTGCTCCTTAGTGGGGAACCATGACCATGCTGAGATTATACAAAGAGCTCTGCACCCATTTTCTATGTCCTGCTCCAAAAAGGAAGGTTTGTTTCTGAGTTGATGAGGAAGGGGGACAGAGGCAGGTGGCGGGGGGGAGGGGTTGGGGGGGCGGGGACGGTTGGGGGTGCGGGGGAGAATTATAAAGGATTTGAATTAGAGCAGGTTTCTCTTAAAGCAGGTAGAAAAGAGGAACAAACAAATCTTCACAGAGTGGGATCTGGAAGAGTTGTTGAGGCTGGTGGGAATGGAAAGGTTCTTATGCAGAGTTGGAAGGAAGCAACCAGGGCCATGTGGAAAGAGATAAGAGTCTCCCTCTCACCATCCTCTGACTCTCCCCCTCCACAAACCCCTGCTCCATCCTGTGGTTGTGTACTCCCTCCACACAAATACTGCCTGGGAATGCAGAGCCTCCCTGGGCTCACTACCAAGTCACCAGAGGCAACTTTCTGTGGCAGCCGCCAACCCCATCTCTTCCTGTCTCCACCTCCCCATCTGCCATTGTCAGAGCACAGATTCCCCACTGTGGACCTTCTCCCCAGGCTGGATTCACAGGGGAAGGGAAAATCTTCAAAGCCAAGACTGTCATGAGCACTTGGTATAATGCTCAAGTTCTTTCCTCCCAAGACATCTTAGAAATTTAGAACCTGAGGCTCACCTGGAGCTGAATGAGGCTTTTAAGTCTGTACCCACATCAGCAAGCATGTCTGCACTGAAGTGTGCAGACACATTTTCTGCCCTTCACTCTCCAGCTTCTCAAAGTGTTTCTGGATGTTCAGAGCCTCAGGTTCACCCCTGGCACACAGGGTTGTATATTAACCAAAATTTCCTTCATATAGCACAGGATCAGAGCCATCCATCAGAGCTGCTTTAGCAAGAAGATCGACGATGCCAGAGAAAAGACACCCATGTTTGAGCCTCTATATCCGATTCATAACCCTCCCTCCTTAGAGGCCATGCCAGGAGCTCCATGGCTGATGTCATCCAGATCACATTTTTTGCATCACTTAAATTACAGTCTTCCTAGGAACTCCTTATCTCAGGACACTGGTTGACAGGGAGAGGTACTTGTTATAGGATAACAAACACAACTTGCTGGAGGATGTTTGGGATTGAATTTGGTTTTAAAAGAGATACTATTAAATATTACTTCTGCGTTCAGCAATCCTAGACTTGGGATCCCCCTAGATCAAGTAAATGTGGCATGTCAGTGATCTGCTTCTCTGTGTCTCAGTTTACCAATAAAACAAGGGAATTGGAAATTCATGGAGGGAATATGAAAAAGGTGTCCAAGGTAAGACACCTGTGAAGTAAAGCTGGAGCAAGGCTATGATTCTGCAGAGAATACAGATGTTGACATTATGGAAATTCTTGGGTGATTAACTGGGTGGAGCAGAAGGGCTTTATGGCCAACCATTTATGGACTCCCTGAGATTATTCCTTCATTATACTTTTATACAAGACAAATTTAAGTGCATATTCTTGCTACTTTAGGTAAGCTGCTGAAAGGGTGGTTGGTGTAATGGGATAAATGAGAGGAAGGAATCAGTTTAATATGGAGAAGGTTTTGTAAGTGCAGTGTAAGGGAGTCTGACACTCAATAACATTGTGGAGACACAAGTTGTTATTTCCTTGTTTCAGCAGAAAGATAGCAAAAAAGCAAACAAACATAAGGCATCTCAGGCTGGGCAGGTCTTGCTCCATGGAAACATGCTGTGCAGATATGGGACAGGACACAGATTGAAAGGCCAGTTAGGTTTCATTAAGTAGGATCTGTCTGAGTTTAAACCTGAGGAAAGAAGATGAGATTGAGGGGTTGGGCTGTTAACTTTCCTTCATGCATTTTTATTCTAGTTCTATTTATTTGGTGTCTGATGTCAATTCCTGACAAGATACAGACCAAAAAGCCAAAAAGGGTCTCAAAATACTGAAGTCATGGATCAAAAAAAGTTACTCTTCAAAATTCAGTCATTTAAAGTGTTTGATACATTTGGTGTGTGCAGACCTTGGCCAATGAAACCAGGAAGCTCAGAATTCATTTTTTCTTAAGATAGGTGAGTGGTGAAAGCAAACCATGGGAGGTTGTAGTTCAAAAGCAATTAGCATAATCTTTTTTTGTCAATATTTAGGTTGTATAAGAGGTGGTGCGAATATTTTTGTAGATGACATTTACACTGAAACATCAAATATCTTGTCTTCTCTTTTTCAGGCTATGTTTATGTTAGCTTCTATTTGTCTAGTAATATCTCGTATTTCTCTTTCTTTGATTATTTGCTAATTTATCTAATATGTTGAATCTTTACCTATGAAATCTCGGTGGTGAATGGTGCCTCCCTCAGCACAAAGACCCGACTGGAATATCCTACCACAAGTTAAGTGCGTCAAGCAGACAAAAAAATATTAGTTAAGAGAAAGCATGGGACTCCAGAGGGTGTTTCTCTGCAGTTAAAACCAGGCTGGGGCTTTTCCTTCATCTTTATATTAAAAGAAGAAAACTTGCCGGAGCAGGCAGTCAGTGTGGTGGTGTCACACTTCTGTCTCAGCTGCCCATGCATCTTTGTACCTCTCTCCCAATATAAATTCCTGTTGCATATGACTACAAACCTTCCTTGAAATTATGGAAGTAATTAAAAACGCTCTAATATTCTGCTGAATGGAATGCACCTTGAAGACATTGGATGAAAATCGAATCCCCTTGTCATACAGTTACAGTGGACTGAAGAGAAATCCTAATGGTTTCAGTAGCCTTCTGTCATGATACCATTTCCCTTCCTCAGGCTTCATCCAAGAGGGATAAGAGGGGATAATACCATTTGTCATATCATAGAATCACAGAATCCCAGGGTGTTTTGGACTGGAAGGGACCTTAAAGGTGCCAACACCTTGCAATAAGACCAGATTGCTTCAAGCCCCGTCCAACATATCTTCGAACACTTCCAGGGACAGAGCATCCTCTCTGGGCAACCTGTTGCAGGGCATCACCACCCGCACAGGGAAGAATTTATTTTTAATATCTAATCTGAACCTATCCTTCTCTCAAGCATGAAGCCATTTCCACTTGTCCTGCCACTGGTCTGCTGAGGCTAGGTGGGTACCTAGCACACGCTGGTCCCTGCTTTAGGTGCACCATGATATGCACCAGAATTGTTTTGGCGACCCACCATCTCTCCTAGAGAAGGGGGCTAGATCACTCTGAGGAACGGAGGCTGGATGCCTTAGGGGGACGGGGACTGGGTCCCTCCATGAGAAGGGACTGGATGCCTCTGTGGAACAGGGACTAGGTCACTCCATGGGCTAGAGACTGGATTCTTCGGTGGGACAGGGGCTGGATCCCTCCGCGGTTTGCTGCTGAATCCGTCCATAGGACGGTGCTGGATTCCGCGGAGGGAGCGAGGGCGGGAGGCGGGGCGGGGCCGGGGCTCGCAGCGGGGGAGCCGCTCCCCCCCGAGCCTCTGGTGCTACAACAGCGTGATTTCCCCGAAGTGATGCTGCGGCGGCCGCCAATGGCGGGCGCGTCCACCCCTCGCAGAGGCGCGGATTGGCCGGGCGGCGGCCGGGCCCGGGCGCGGGGAATCCCGGAGCTGCCGCGTTATACCCGTGGGTGCGGCCGGCGGCAGCCAGAACCCGGCGGCGGGCGGCGGGCGGCGGGTGTGCGTCAGCCGGGGAGCCCACAGCTCGGCACTGCACGACACAGCGAGGTGGGTCATGGTGCAACTCCTCTCCTCTCCTCTCCTCTCCTCTCCTCTCCTCT